TTGTGTCTTCTTCTTGTGGCTGTGGATGCCTTTTAGCATGGCCTTCTTGGCCTTCAAAGCTTTAGCTTTGGCTTCAGCTTTGGGAGAGGCGGGGGCTTCCTTCTTTGCCCTTGGTGCCATCTTGGTAAAAAGGCCCAGTTTTGTTTGTTTTATGATATGAAGTTAGGTGTCCCAGTGTTTGGTGAAAAACACGTGCGCGCGTGCACACACACACACACACACATATGTATATATCTCTTGCTGTTGAGTAACTGTTCCTTTGACCAATATGTAGTGACCTTCTTTGCCTCTTCTAATAAGTTTTGGTTTCAAGTCTGCTCTGTCTGGAAATGTTATGGCTACCCATGCTTGTTTTTAGACTCCTCAGACTTAACATATTTCTTTCTAATCTGTATTTTTCTTTATGGATCTAATGTGTTTCTTATATACACCATACTGTTGGGTTTTGTGTTTTGAACCCATCTGCCAATCTGCCTCTTTTGACTAGGGAATTGAGCTCATTCATATTGAGAGTTATTTCAAATAGGTAGTGACTTATTCCTGTTGTTGCATTACTTTTCTTGTTGGTGATTCCTTTTTCTTTTTTATTTAACTGCTCGTGTTTGAAGGTGTGTTTATTCTAGTGGACCTTTTTGTGGGCATTTTTGGCTTCATCATCTCTATATAGGATATTGAAAACTTTTTGGAGTTATGGTTACTTGTTACACATTTGTTATAGTGCTCTTTGTCATGAAAAGACCTTATTTCTTCATTAATTTCCAGAGGAGATTTTGTAGGATATATCTGTCTGTTTTGAAGTTGTTTTCTTTTAATTCTTGAAACACTTCACTCCAAGATCTCTTTAACTTCAAGTTTTTTGTTGAGAAGTCTACTGCAAGTTCAGTGTATTTGCCTTTATAAGTGATTTTTTTGTTGTTGTTCTCTTATGCCAGTGCAGGCAAATCTTTTAGAGCTTTCAGTGATAAACAGTGAGCTGCAGTATACATGCCATACATTCATCACTAGTCTTATACACTGTAAAATTCTGGCTTTTGTTAGATTTTTGGGCTTTGGCCTATGTTGTGAAAAAGTTATTTCCCTGTTGTGCCTGTTTGGGGTTGTTTAGACCTTGCTTATATGTAAGTTTAATTCTTTCCCCATATTTGAAATGTTTTCTGCTGTTATTTCTGTAACAGGTTTTTTATGCTGTTTGTGCCATCTGATTTTTCACTAGTTCTAGTCAATATTAGAATTCTCTCATTTGTGTCATAGCAGCTATTGGATCTATTTTTCATATTGTTTTCAAGTTATCTCTGTATAATTGTTCACCTGAACTAGCACTAAACTCTAGTTCTATAACTTGAGTTTCACATTGTTCACTTCTGCTCTATTTCAGTAAAATTTTGTGTCCTATATTTATGTTTGCTTACATTTTCATGGAAGCTTTTTAGATATTTTGTTCATGTTGTGTATTATATGCTTAGGTCAGCTAGCTTTTTATTACTGTCTTCTTTAAGCTCACAGGTCATTTTACTTGCTAAGTCCATTACCCATATAATCATATCATCTTTGAGGTTACTGAGCATCTTACTCATCTGTTTATCTTCTCCCTTATCGTTTCAAACAATTCAGCTTTGTGACTTTTTCCATGCCATTGATGCACCATGGATCAGCTGTGGCGCAGTTGGGAATTTTGATAGGTCTTTTGTTGCTTTGTTGTCCCATGGATCATATATTTGCACACTTGTATGCATGCATGTGTGCACATGTGGGCACTGAGTTTTATGGTTGATTATACTGGAAAGACTTTGTTGCTAGTAGGGAAATATCTTTAGTACTGATTTTCAGTATTATCTGAATATGGCTAAGTATATGCCTTTGCCTCAGTACTAAGATCCAACCACTTCTGTTATTTTGAAAATGGAGAGAACAGTACAATTAGCCTAATACCTAGTTCTCCTGAAAGGAACTGCGGTATGGTTGATGACAGAAAGACTTAACTTGCCATGTGGTAAAAGTCACTATTAGAGTAAAAGCCCAGGCTTATAATAGGTGTGGATTTTTCTTGGGTCTGGCACTTCTGGGTCTTTTGTTCTCTCCCTAGTTTTCCAACGCTGTCTGGGCTTATGTTATGTTAGCAGAGACAGGTCTCCTTCCCAGGGGCAAGAGTGAGCTTGCTTGCTTGCTTGCTTGCTTGCTTGCTTTTTTTTTTTTTTTCAGAACGGGGGATTGAACTTAGGCCCTTGCGTTTGCCAGGGAAGCGCTTATTCTACTGAGTCATCTCCCCAGCCTGTAGACTGAGCTTTCTAGGTTACTGTTTTCTCTGTTGTGATTCTTTTCTCCAGCTCCTTTATACCTTCTACTTTTTTTCAGTTCCTTTGAGGCTGATGCCTTTTATTTTCTCTTTAGCAGGTTGTTGTTTTTCTAGATGTCTCAATTCCAGGTTCTGGGGAGGATTATTTTGCTGTTGATCTGAACTCTGCCTTTTTTCTCTTTTATAAAACAAATTTCACAAAAATATGTAGTTTGATCCCATTTGTGTGCTAAAAAGAAAGCTGTTTAATTGGTAATTAAACTTTAAAATATAATAGAGATTTTAGTGTACAATCTAGTCTATAACCTCTTTTTTCCAGCTGTTTTTCATGAACTTCCATTCATGCTAACAGTATGCAAAGATTCATATTACCCATTTTAGAAAATCTGTAGCCATAAATGTACCTTTTGCTTTAAAATAGTATGTGTGTATTTCTGTGTCATTGTGTTTATTTAGGTTCTCTTATCAATGATTTCACTTGTTCTGGTCAGTTATCCACGATTAACTACCATGTAAATAATATTTAAATCGACAATTCCAAAAATAATTCATAAATTTTAAATTGCTTACAAATATGAGTAGTATTGTGAGAAATAGCACTATCCTGCTCTGTCTTGCATAAGACATCGAATTTTTCTCCTTAGGAAATCTCTACTACTTGTGCTACTCAGTTGTTTGTCACTTAAGGCATGCATGTTAATTATCAGATCAACTATTGCAGTATCACAGTGCTTGTTTTCAAGTAACTCTCATTTTACTTAATAATGACTCAAAACTACAAGCATAGTGGTACAGGGAATTCAGATAAACTGCAATCTGTAAAGTGCTTTCTTTAAAAAAAAGAAGGAAGAAAATGTATGCTGAAGTTGAAAATATGCACAATATAGTATTTTGAAAGAGAAACAACATTCATATAACATACTATGCTGTTTTCTATTTGTTAATTTCTTACTGTGCTTGTTTTAAAGTTAAACATTTTTATAAATGTGTATGTATATATGAAAACACGTATATATAAAGCTCAGTACTGTCTTGTTTCAGGTGCCCATTGGGTATCTTGGAGCATATCCCCAACACAGAAGGGAGGCAAATTATATATACATTTTTTTTTCGGGGTTAGGGATTCTGGGAATTGACTCAGAACTTTGCACTTGCCAGGCAGGTGCTGTGCCACTGAGCTATATCCCAAGAACGTACACACACACACACACACACACACACACACACAATGAAGAAAAACTTTTTTTTTTTTCTTTTTGGTACTGGGGATTGAACACAGGAACTTGCACTTCCAGGCAGGTTTTATGCTGCTGAGCTATATCCCCAGTCCTGAAATATGACTTTATATTAGGGTATTGTTTTACTTTTTAGATTATAGATATATACTTAGTTGAAGAAGAAAAACAGCTTTTTCATTGAAAAAAAGATTTCTGTTTATAAAATATGTAATTTTGGAAAGCTCCTGTAAAAAATCAGTAGTTCCTAAGTTGACTTTAACCATAAGGAACAAAGGAGGAAGGAATCAGAGGAGTTTCAGTGAGAAAGCCCTATCAATGAAAGCTAACAGCAGACTTCTGTAGCTAAACATAGTTCTCAATAGCATGATGTCCTCCAAGATCATTCACATTGCTGTGAATGGCAGGACACAAAAAAACAAATACTGCATGGAATTACTTATATGTGAAATGTAGAGTAGTTGAATTTAGAAAAGGAATAGTGGCAGCCATAAGCTGAGGAATGGAGGAAATCAGAATATGTTAGTTGAAGAGTACAAACTTTCAGTTACAAAAGTTGTGGAGATCTAAATACAACAGTGCCTAATAGGTAATATATTGAATACTTACAGTTTGCTAAGAGATAGCTCTTAAGTACACACATCAACAAAAAGGTAACTGAAATAATGAATATACTGATTAGTTTGGTCCAGTAACCATTAGATAAAGATACACTGACTTGAATTTAGAACCTCCCTGCTGGATTGAACATACATCATGCTATGTGCATCACTATTGTATTTGACAGCTTATACTAATTCTCAGGGAGTCCTTTATTTGAAGTAATACAAAATGCCATATAGTACAACTTAAATAGAAGTTTTGTTAATTGTACCCTAATAAAGCTGAAAAGTAAACTTAATAAAATAGGGCTAGTGATGTACTTTCAGTGGTAGACCACTTACCTAACACGGTGAAGTCCCTGGGTTCTATATAAGCAAAGTTACATATAAGATTTGGACAATAGTGCTTCATATTATGATTTAGATAGAGGATTATATTTTTGGTAATTTAGGAGGTAGGTGAGACGGGTTCTCACTATGTAGTTGAGGCTAAGCTCAACATCACTATGTAGCCCAGGCTAGCCTCACACTTGCAGATCCTCCTTTTTTAACTTTTGGAGTGCTGGAATTATAGGCATATATCACCACAACCAGCTTTTGCTTTGATTCTCACTTATATATAAAATACTTGCTGTGATTTTTTTTTATTCTGGTTTTTCGATAAAGGGTCTCACTATGTAGTTCATGCTGACTTTGAGATGACTATATAGCCCAGGATGGCCCAAACACAGGCAATGCTCCTGCCTCAGCCTCCTGAATGCTGGGATTACAGGCGTGCACCACCATGCCTGACATTATATGAATTTTTAAATGCTTTTATTTTAAATTTTAAAAATATATTTTGTTTGTATCACTTTTTGTTTGCATTAGGTAACTGGGAAAAAAGCATATGCTACAAGCCAGCAAATTTATGAAGCATTTAAATCATTGTGGACAAAAAGCCCCCAAAAAGAATCACTCCCGGAGCCTGAAGGAAAATCTAAGGTAGAGTTTAATTGGAACAAAAAGATAAGCAGTAGCTTTTGTTTGGGTGGGTGTTGGCTTGGATGATAAAGTGATTTACTTATGAAAGAAAAATCTTCTTGGTACACAGCTAAGAATATCCGATGAAAAAGAAATACCTGCAGAAACAGCACACATCCTGAAACACTCAGTGTCTTGGTCAACAGAAGTCAGTTCTGAAACAGTGATGAAATCAGAACCCACCTCAGGTTTGTTTGGAATATTTCAATTTTATTTTTATTCTTGTATAGATTAACTTTTCAGCATTATTAGTAGTTTGAATTTATTAGTAATTTGAGCTCATTTGTGATTTTGTGTGTGTGTGTGTGTGTGTGTGTGTGTCTGTTTTAGGGAAGGGTTTACAGGGTATTCATGGTCACACTACTAGATCAGACTCGTAGTGATTCTCCTGTTTAAAGCCTCCCAAGAGATGGAATTGCAGGGACGCGCCACCATGCCCAGTCTCAATTGCCTCTTAGCGCACCCCAGGGGCATTGCTGGCACAGCAGGCCCAGGGACCGAACCCCAGGCCCCTGCGCCTGCTTGCAGGCACTCTAATCCTCTGAGCTAATTGGCTGGACCTGTTTTTGCTTTTCATATGTGAAATTTATATTCTTGGATTATGAGGGAATTAAATGTCTGGGATTTTTTATAACACCACATAGTTCATATTGCATATCTCTGTATGTGGGGATATAGAGTAGCACAGACAAGTTGAATGAAACATTTAATATCATTTTATAAATGTGAACTATTTTATCATAAGGTGGAAATGTAATTCTCTGTATCCTATCAGTTTACAGATATAAGTTATACATACATAAATATCTGCTTCCATCCCTCATAGTATTAGCCTTCCTGTCAGCCTTAGCTTCCTTTGGTCTGTTTGTTGGTTTTATCCTTTTGTTTTGTTCATTTCTTTTTAAATAATTGTATTGAGAAACAAATAGCAATGAGACAGTTTCAAAACCAATTACTAGCACAGTTTCAATAATTAATACATTGTATATTGTTGTCTTAGTGGTTATTCATTGTACGAGATGCAGACATGATATCCTGTCCACAAACACTATTAGAACAAATCTCTCTATTCAGTGATCCAAGGGAATGCAGCTGTGTACCTATCCTAACTATTTTGAACATATGGATGCAAAATGGTCATTCATTTGTATCCCCCTTTTTTAGTTTTGTCAGAGAATGGTATTCCATTGTCATTTAAAAATATTGTAGGTACCTGAATTGAGCAAAATATTCCAATATAGTCCAGTAGTCCATAATAGTAGTGGGTTTTCCGTAAGAATGGAAATGACCGAAGTTGTTGACTTGGCTGGGGAGATGGCTCATTGGAATAAATGCTTGCCTGGCAAGCGCAAGGGCCTGAGTTCAATCCCCACTTCCGCCAAAAAAGAAAAAACAAAAAGTTGTTGACTTGAGCCTTTCACAGCTCAGCATATTCTTTTTTCAGTAAAAAGAAAAGATGAGTTTATTCATATCAGTGTACACTATCAAGAAAGACATAAGGAGCATAGTGGGGAGATGCTGGCCTGAGGAATGATTGAAATGAGTACAAAGGTGAAGGTACCTGTGGAGCAAAAGCACAGGGCTTCTGGAGTGCATGATTAAAGAGCAGATCTTCAGGGCAAAAGCTGAGCAGAATTAATAAAGTTACTCTTAGAGATGTTTGTTCCCTAAAAAAAAAAAAAAGAAAGACAAAAATAATCTTTTTCATAGTATAGTACAGTTAAAAGCTAATAACTGCTGATTTCTGTTAGTGCATTGAAAAGAACAGCTAATAATTAATTTTTTTCTTCTGTTTAAATTTCTTTGACCAACTTTGTATGCTTATGTGTGGTACTCTGTGCTGAACAACTAATTAGAAGACAACAATATGCAATATAACAACCATTATTGAATTACTATTTTTTTTTGACATTTGTCAGAATAAAACAGCTCAGCATATTAATATGGCTTTACTTTTTATACTTCAATTTTATACTTTTCTGCTGGATATAGAGTATGCCTAAGGAGAGTCACATGGAGAGAAAACATTTTCTCAGGCTTTCACAGAGATCAAATTGGTCAAGCAATGGCCATGACTCATCCACATGGCTGGCACTGACAAAGGATCTGCAAACTGCAGTACAGGGTTACAGGATAAATGCTGAGGGGACTTGATGGACCTTATCAGATACAAAAGTTACATTTCTTGTTATATAGATCTTGCTTTTTTTTTTTTTTTGAGAATAAGTTTCACTGTGCAGTTCAGGTTTGTAGCCCAAGCTGGCCTCGAACTTGCAGTGATCCTCCAGCCTCAGCCTCCCAAGTGTTGGGATTACAGGCATGTGCCGCCACAGCTGCCAACCTTAGCTTCTATCATTTGTACTTTTATTGTATCTGTGTTAAAGGAGAATTTTATGAATATGTAGTATGTGAATTCTACATATATATAGCACCAATTATAGTATATGCAAATCTGTTAGAATTCACTATTGACACACATTTCTTTCTAGGACTAAACAGTGACTTTCTAAAAGAATACTGCTTCTACTATGATCAAAAAGAAAGTAGCAAAAGCCAAGCTTTGTAACACATGACTCTAAGCCTAGCACTCTGAGAAGCTGAGGTAGAAAGACGTCAAATTTGAGCCCATCCTGAGCAACCCTGTGACTTACTGAGGCTCTCTCTCAAAGAAAAAAGAATGCAACAGAGCATATAACACTATTTCTGCAGTGTACTCACATAAATTCACCAGTCACATATTGGCATGGGTTTGTGTGACTACAGTGTGAGTGACTCAGCCCACTAAGTTGATTCATCGCAAAGGAAGTATGACCAACTCAGAAGTCAAGTAGTAGAAGATATTAATAATAATCTATTCTTGTAAAGTATATACTAATTTGCAAAACATTCTAAGTTCATTATCTTATTCATTCTATACCCCCAAAGCAAAACAATAAAGTCTGATATATTAGGAATTATTCTTGTTTATTATGAAAATACTAAGAATTAAGAAGCTTAAGTGGCTTATATTATACAGCTTCTGAATAGCAGTGCTGTTTATAGACTACATAATGCAAATTAGTTCCATCATATATAAGTTTTCTAATTTAAAGGCAGAATAGTCTCTAATTTCAATTCCCTCTTCTCTCAGTCTTATCAAAAACTGTCATTGAAAGCAAACCTGATTTAAGTTTTACTACTTTCCTCCATTGCTATCCTTTTTATTTGAGTTACAGAGATTAAAAAGTCTCAGTAAGCCAGGAGATGACCTTCTCAAGATCTTGACCACATTGCTACCCTAGTGTTGGATTTTCAGAATCTAGTATATGAGATGTAAATTTCTCTCGTAAATAACAATTTGGTCTATTGAATTTCTTTTATAGCAGCCTGAACTGATACATATGAAAACATTGCCATCTCTATCCCCCCTTCATGTATCTTTATTTTTTTTTAATATTTTTCCATAATTTTATTGAGAAACAAATAGTAATGAGACAGTTTCAAAACAAATTGGTAGGACAGTTTCAATAATTAACACATTGCATACATTCTTCCTAGTGGTTAATTGCTGTACAAGATACGGACATGAGATCCTATTTACAAACACCATTAGAACAAATCCTCTATTCATTAAGAGAATGTAACTATATATCTATCCTAACCACTTTGAATACACAGATACAAAATGGACATTCATCTGTATCCCCCCCCTTTTTTTGTTAAGTTCCGTTATTTGAATATTATAGGTGTGTAAACTCAGCAAAATATTCTAAAAGATTCCAGTAGCCTATAATAGTATTGGGTCTTCCGCTTGAATGGCAATGTCAGAAATTGTTGACCTGAGTCCCCTACAGCTCAACATAACAGCATGGCTTTACTTCTTGTACTTCGGTTTTATACTTTTCTGCTGGATGGTTAAGACCAAGATAAAGCAAGACCTATGCAACAAGAGTTGTAGCTTTTGGGTCTGATAAGGTTTTTGGACTTATGTGTAAACATAAGTATATATTTCTTTATGCCTATTTTTAAAAATATATTCTAATTTTTAAATGTTTTTTCATCATATTCTATAGGGACTTAAAGTTCAACATATCAATACTTGATGAAAAATACCTGTTTCATGTTATGCCTAACATGTTTGATATTCAGACAGATAGTAAGGTTAAGCTTAACAGCCTAGGTTGTATGGTAATAACAATAAGCTTGTCTTCTGGATGGTTAACAATCTTAAGTTTGCAGACCAAAATTAGAGAAAAAGGAGAGCTGCAAGGAAAGCCAACATTTTGGCCCTAGCCTTCCAAGGTCAATTAAGACTCATTACATATGAGAACTTGCGCTGTAACGTCATGTAACTCAGTAGTGTCCCAAATTTTCTGATCAAGGAGATTATGGGGCCAAAGAGGAAAGTGATCGATGATGTAGAGTGTGCCTAAGGAGAGTCACGTGGAGAGAAAACATTGTCTCAGGCTCTCACAGAGAGCACATTGGCCAAGCAATGGCCATGACTCATCCACATGGCTGACACTGACAAAAGATCTAGAATCTGAGGTACATTATCTGAGGATAAATCCTGAGGGGATTTCACTGACCTTATCATGTATCTTTAGAATGCTTTTCATGTACTACATTGTGCAATACAGGGGTTAAATATTCCAGAATCCAGAATCAAGACATGTAAAGAAAACTATTAATAAAGCATGACTTTGGTCCCATCTTTAAATTTAGTATGTTTCATCTTCCTGATAATACTCTGGAATCATAGCAACTTATCACCATAAAAAATCAATTGGGTATGTTGTCTGATTAATGTGATACTGAGGATGAGTTTGTTTTTCTAATAACTCATATACATTTAAGCTGAAGATTATATTCTTTTGGAAATAATGAATTTGAAAATTTGATGTCATGGATCTCTGCATAAATCTTTAAATTCATTCAAACAATGAAATCTTTAAATCTTACAGGATTAATGTCCCTCTAAAGCAGCAGTTGGCAAGTCTATGCCAGATCTGGCTCACTGATTGTTTTTGTATATTCTACAAGCACAGTACATGTTTTAAGTGATTTTAGAAAATGAAAAGAATACTATTTCATGACTAGTGAATACTGTATTAAATTCAGATTTGTGGACATTTGTTCATAAAATTTTAGTAGAATATAATAACATTTGTTTGTTTGTATATTGTGTTTGACAACTTTCATACTACAA